TTATTTGGTTTATATTTATTTTAATTCGCTTTGTTCGATATAATTTTGTGATTATTGAGTTTGATTATTCGCATAGACGCGTGCATTCATGCACACATTAGAGAACAGATGCCTGCAAGTATAAACGATGACTGAGGCCACATACATGTACATAGGTATACATGTGGATGCATGAGTACGCAAACATGTATGTACATACGATGCATACGCATGCATATATGCGTGTATGCAGGCATGTCAGCTTACACATGGACAGGCGTTGAGGAGTGCGGAAAAGTCAGATAAATCAGTTTTAAGATAGGTCCACTAAGATACACTCGTACACATATCTACATGTAAGTGGTTTATTTATTAGGCTATTTAGATTTTAGTTACATGTTACATATGTATGTACATATATGTATGTGTGCCCAACGACGTAGCATTATACATGTATACATACATTCGCAGAACGTAATATCAAAGACTAAACAGAAATTGTTTTAACGACGAATACGGATTAGTTAGCTAACAAAAAATATATACATATATGTATATTTACGAATGCCTCGCAATTTTTATTCATAATGGATAGGTATTTAGTAAGTGCGAATGATATGCAAACATAACTGTCTTAAGCATCAAATAATTAAGAAAAAACTATACTTATGTATGTAGTAATATCTCTAATGAACTAGGAAACACAATCTTCCAGTTTACACTCAACACTAAAAGTGCTCTAGCTCATATACATGCGTATGCATACATAAATGTATGTATGTATTATATTCATATATATATGTATATACATATATGAAAGTGTTAATGAATGAATATATATGTAATTCCTGATTGATAAATTGATACATACGTCAACGATCATTGTTTTTTGAGTATACCAATATAAAAAAAAAACAATTACAAACTCAAATGATTATAATTTTTAAAATTCTGTAAAAAAAATTCTTGTTTTATTAAAACTTTAAAATCTAATTTTTAATCAATTTTGTTTTTTGTTTTTAATTTTTTCAACTAACATGCTTCTGCTTATTATATATTATACCCTTAAATACATTGAAAGTGCGTTCAAAATGTTATCTATTTCATGGACTCTCGGTATTTCGAAATTTAAGGGATCTTAAAATACTACGAATTATCGAATGTTCGAAATATTAAATGGTTCGAAATTTTTGAGAGAAAATGAATAAGATTTCGAACTATCAATGGTTTTTATTAAACTGCTGGTATTTTACATATTTGTAATTGTATGTTCTTTGAAAATAACTCATTTATAAGGGTTTGCTTCGAAGCCCATGGTTGCTTTTTCTCCCCTCCTTCTACTTATTCAATTAATTTTTTTCTTTTTCTAAAACAAAATGTTTAATGCATAACACGCACAGTAATCATAGTTTCAGGCGAGTCCCCAATTTCAAATTCAAAGGTCGTATTAAGACACCAACTTGAAATGTGAATTGTCGAATTATTGACCATATGAGTACGCATTACCGCGTCTTAGCAAAAATTTTTTAGTTCGAATTACTGAGTGCATAAAAATATGTGGGAATAATTCGAATTATAAAGAGAGTTTGTAGGGGACACGTGATTACTTTGAATTAATGAGAGGTTCGAGAGGTATCGCAGGTTTGAAATACTGAGAGTCGACTGAATATGCATATCGTCGCATTCCCGCGAAATGATCCTATGTCAAAATGTAATTTTACAGAAGAAGCTTTTTTTCAATTATGTTACTGTATATTAGTATTCATACGCTTAAATTGAAATTGATTTTTTCAGTTGTTATTTTTTGCAAGTATGTGAGACGGACGTTTTCTAAGCGTTCTGCATTAGAATCTAAAAAAAATCGCAAAAAATCAACATATAATCATTTCGCGGGAATGCGGCGATGTGTATATACATATGATAT